CCCCCCCTCCCAACATGACCTCCAATCTTTCTCTATCTGCTCTATTTACCATCATCATGTTGCGGTAGATGTAAGTAGCCATTTGCACCAGGCTCCTGTATGTGTCCGATCAGTGATTCATCACTGTCATTTCTGCTAAGACCAGCCAGGTTCCCCATCTCAACCTCATGGTCACGCTCATTGGTTGAACTAGCTTGTGTCGATGGATTTGATTGGTCAGATCCGTTACTGTGATTATCACTGTCTTCTTGGGTGTTGTTGTCTTTGTTTGCATTCTTGGCTGAAGAATGAAAATGGTTAAGTCATAGTAAAGTTTATCTACGAAATTGAATGAATAAGATGTTTTTTTAAATATTCATATCACTGCTCCAAAATGCGTATCAACAATAGACCCAAACCTCTTCTGATTTTTAAGATTACTGGAATTATTTTCAATATCGTGGCTTTGCCTAAATGATCAATTTCATGGATAATTTTTATTTTCTAGAGATTTCAGGTCTAGTGGCCATGGCACAATATGCTACAGTAAGAATGGCTTTCTGTATTTTGCGATTTGTTGTCAAAAAAAATTGCAGAAAATTGTTTCTGGAAGAATATAATCCTGCAAGAATGAAAAAGACCCTTTTACTGACACTTGACCTTTCTGATGGACATGAATCAGAAGAAATCATTTTAGAGATAAAAGCTTACCATCTTCCTCCTGGAAGGCTGCCTCTGTGACCTTAAGGAAGACCTCCTCCAAGTTGGTATCCATGACCCCATAACTGGAAACATGGAGCTGACCTAGACCAGTATCCAGGGCGTTGAACAGTTTCTCAAAGTTCCCTTTCTTGGCCTCCTCAAACGGTAGGATGTAGTGCAGCTCTCGAATGGTTTCTGATTTCAAAAACGCTGTGGATACATGTTTATTAATGAACTCTGTAACCTTTGACTCTTGACATTTGCTGACGAATGACTTTCTGTTGTTTAGGATGTTGTTGTCTCCCGTCTCCGAGAAATCTACAAGCAAACGAAAATATTTCTGCTTTACCAAGATGATTTCGGACTTCCACAGACTCAGCAACTAACTCACTACCACTGTATTACATGACTCATCAGCAAACACCGTAACAACCCATCACACACCTTCACTAACACCAACCAATTACCTCCCATCACACACCTTCACTTACACCACCCAATTAATTACCTCCCATCACACACCTTCACTAACACCACCCAATTACCTGACTCAGCAACTTACTTCTTACCAGCCAATTTAATCACTCAGCTAAAAGCTCTCCATAACCCTATTAAACACAGACACAGTATTGTGTGGTGGGGTCTAGTGCTGGACCCCACAACTCCATACCATAACACTTCCAGCACTAGACCCCACCTCTCCATACCATAACACTTTCAGCACTGGACCCCACCACTCCATACCATAACACTTTCAGCACTAGACCCCACCACTCCATACCATAACACTTTCAGTACTAGACCCCACCACACAATACCATAACACTTTCAGCACTAGACCCCACCCCTCCATACCATACCACTTTCAGTACTAGACCCCACCACACAATACCATAACACTTTCAATGTCCTTCTCTGACCTACCCAGACTTTCAATGTCCTCCTCTGACCTACCCAGACTTTGTATGTCCTCCTCTGACCTACCCAGACTATGAATGTCCTCCTCTGACCTACCCAGACTTTCAATGTCCTCCTCTGTTTCAGACTTGGCCAGGTTGAGGTGGTACCCTTCCCCAAAGGTGTTCTTCAAGAACAGTGAGGATCCACAACATTTGAGTTCTCCATTAGATATGATGGCAATACGGTCACCAAGTATGTCTGCCTCGTCCATGTGATGTGTCGACAGCAGGATTGTTCTTCCTGTAAAACAAAACGATTGCTGAGATAACATTAAAATGAATCAACCACTGGTTCAAAGTGAAGCGCTTAACCCTTTCAAGCAATATTCAAACAAAGTACTATAAATATATTGGCTTATGGCGTTGAATTTTACCTAGCTTAATTTTTTTATTTATTTTCAGATATTTAAATGTGAATGCAGATTTACATTAAAGAGTACTAAGGAAGGTACGCTAGTCTTTTTACTTAACCATTAACCATGTTAAGCTTTGTATATGTGTAAAGCATTTTACTGACCATGTTTATATTTCACCAGTAGATCCCAGATGGCTCGCCTGGCATAGGGGTCTACGCCAGCTGTCGGTTCATCCAGAATGACGGTGTGGGACCCGCCCACAAAGGCAATGCCCACAGACAGCTTCCTCTGCATGCCGCCCGACAGGCAGTCCACACGACAGTGACGCTTCTTGCTAAGGCCTATATCCTCTAACATCCTACGGAAACAATTTTTTTCACTTATATGTCTACAGAAAACCTTGAACAGTGAAACCTGCCTTAATCGAATCTTTTGAACCTTATCAACACAGCTATCATCAATCCATTTATCCCACTATCTAGCCAGTATTTTAGGGACCAAATGCCCCTTTTCTATACATAATTGTCTAAGTTATCCAGCTTTCCCAAAATGCAGTGCATTTTGTGAGAAAGGAGATGGGTTATCAGACATTTTGATGAGAAAGGAGATGGGTTATCAGACATTTTGTTGATGTCACTTTTGAATCCCCTTTGTCACAACATTTAAATCAGAAAGTTTCATCAACACACAATCAATTAGAAACTAACAACTTGGTCCAGCAATGTATTTATTCCATAATTTATATTTCCAATTTCAAGCTGACCATATGAAATCAATGCCGAGACATTTTTTAGCTCAAGGTGCAATACTTAACATACGTTTCCATTTCTGGTTTAATGTCCTCCATCTTCATACCCTTGAGGCGAGCATAGAACCACAGATGTTCCTGTACTGTCAGTCTGTAGACAGAAAACAAACATCATAACTAACAGAGCTCTGTGAAACTTTCATGCCCGAAATCTCTCCGGATCATTAAAGAGATATGAAGATTATCTTTGTAATGTTTCTACAATAATTTTATTCTTATTCACACTACATATACCTCCACAGGTCTAGACACTAATCAATCACTTACAACAATTTTGTTTACGTTTCAGATATAGCAAAAGAATATCTTTGCACCACATTTGGTATACAGAATGCATATAAGTTAATCCTATGAGCCTAAGTTCCTAGAACAGATGTGTTTACTCATTGATAAACTCTCGCAACTTATATTTGATTGTTTCTCTTTCAAAAGGTGTTTTTTTTGCAATGTGCAGCTTTAGATTATCGCAAGTCTTCAAATCTATAGATTGTCACAATTCTTTCAGAAATATTCCAAAGAATTCTACACAAGACACTATTGATTTACAGAATATATTTGGGCACCAATGATAACTTATGTAACCGTCACACGACAATATCTGTTTTACTATAGGAACCCTCACTTGTCAAACAGGACGTTGTGTTGGGGACACATTCCCAGACTCTGGCGGATCAGATCCATGTCAGTGCGGATATCATTGTCGTATATCAGTGCATATCCAGATGTTGGAGGGAACAGCCCAGTCAAGATTGACCTTCAGGAGATAAAAGTGCGTCTTTAAGTAAACCTTCATATTGTCATATATTTACAAAAGGCTTTCAAAGCCCCCTATGACCTGCTTCATTTCATGTATAAAATTAACGTTCATTAATCACAAACTGATCACTTAGACCTTCCTGCCACACTGGTCTAAAAAGTTTCCTATATACGAAAATGTTTTGAACACCTTGGTTGCCAGACTAACAAGGTTCCGTGGAGAAGATGAGATTTCCCTAAGTGACAGAAATACATGATCTGTTAGATATATGAACATGCGCAGCAAACTCACATTGTCGTTGTTTTCCCTGCACCATTATGGCCCAGGAATGATGTTATCTGTCCCTCGTAAAAACTTAGTGTCAAATTTTTTACAGCTAGTTTTTTTCCAGTCTTGTAAATCTGTAAATTCAAAGATATAACTAGAAAACATTTGTAAAACATAAAACACTTGTTAAGTGAAAGAATTGGAGCTAAATGCTGAATTCAACCAAAGTCAGTAAAGCAGAAAATATAGGTCACAGTGACCTACATTTGATGTCGGAGTAGTGCTTCTCAAGAATGTATTCATTATGAATTTTGATGACTTTTTTGGACTTCTAGTATAAAATTGGTGCTTAATGCAAAGTCATAATGCCCCTCCACTTTGTTGTGGGGATATTAAAACCATTTAACAGTTAGTTACCTTTGTGAGATTCTCTATGTGAACACCCTGGGGGAGGTGGGTAGGATCTGCCTCAAACTTTCTAGCATACTCTGCAACACAATTTAAATATGAGAAGCTTGGTAAAGATCATCTTTTTATCTTAATAATAATCAAATATATTTATTCGATTTTCTTCAGAATAACTGAATTACAGTAAAACAGACTATAGGCATTTTTTTTTTAAATTCTTGCTTTCAATGAAATCTTATTTTTGTTCCCTGGCAAGAAATTGGTACACTTGCATTTAAAATTTAAAACAAAGTATGTCTCTAGCGAACCAATTTCTTCTGTTCACTGAGGGTTCTTTATAATATATAATTAATGTGTGTTATGGACTTTTTCTTACAGTAACTATGTCTGCTCAGTGTCCATTCATTAAAGAAACCATTCTCATTCTCTTCTTCAGATTCTCTGTCAAGCCCCATTCCTTGTTCCAATGATGAATTATTTAAATTGGAGAAACTTGAAGCAGAATACTATTTCCAATGTCTAGATTTTACTTTTTAGCTGCAGAAGTGAGTTACTTTGAGAAGTAAATTCATGTCTGACCATGAGAACAGTTTCATGATTACAGGTCCATGCTTACACAAAATTCTAACTTTGTTTACAGTCTATCTAAAGATAACTTATGGCTGACCTGCATCCCTTTGATCCAGTGCACAGGCCTGGTCCTCCAGTAACGAGCTGTAGGCATGGTTACGACGACACATGTCCAGGATGTTGCCACAGTCCATTTCCTGTGCCTTTGTGGCACCTGAACACCAGTACGTCTTGGAGAACAGGAAATACCACGGCCGTGGCAGACCATACGATCCTGGAATGGCAACAAGAAATAGTGCAATTAATCTGGCCTTAACACTTTATAGTTATGAGAGATTTTTTTTTTTTGCACAACCACTGACCTCCAAGCTCTTAAAACACTTAAAGAAATCTCTTTTTGGCAGAAGTTATGACATCTATTGAAAACGTGGCGTGACTAAGAACATTATCACTTAACACTCAGCAATGACAACGCAGATGCAGCGACATCTAAGTGAGAGAATTGAACAGTTTTAAACAAGAACTTGTTGTCAAAATGAAAGCACAGCAGGAATATATAGGATATATTTTTAGACATCATTATATTTTATTCCTTTTATATGTTAACAAATCAAAAGAACAAGATGGCATTTTATGATCCACAAAATTACAAAGTTAACAAAGTGTTTACTGAAATACACTGATCAGCTACCAAACTGTTCCCGTTGGAGTGTAACTCTGAGAGAGCACGACATGCATACAGGGCTTAAAATGCACACAAAACAGACTCTGAGGGGAGACAGTTAAAATGAAGGCTTATTCTTGGAGGGTGTAATTAAAATGGATACTAGGCACATTCCTGTATCTTACCTGGGAACACATTCTCTATGTACCAAGCCAGCAGGGAGTAGAGGAATGAGTCGAGGATCATCATGAGTATGGACGTGAGCAGACTGTACTCGTCATTTTCTACGGGGGACAGATGGATGTTGTCCCACTGTACTCCGACTCCCTCCTCCTCGTAAAACGCGAAGTACTTCCCGCTCAGGCCAAACGCAGTCGTAGAAAACAGAGACTGTAAACAAATATAGTATTTCAATACACAGTGGATTTTGTTTCAAATAGACAGTGTCATGATATAACTGTATTTCTAAATTATTGAATTCTCATAAATTTGGCAACTATACATGCAGTCATAAGACAGACAATAAGGACATGTCCCTATATTGCTACCAAAATAAATACATTTATTTTACCTTGGACAAAAAATTGTCACATGGTGAGCCTCTATGTAACAAAGTCATCTTCTACATTTGATTCAATTTCAAAGGAAGGTTGCAGAAAAAAATAGTTTATATTTCAGATTGATTTTTTTCTCTCTAATCAAGCCATTTCAAAGGACCCCTACAATTATTTTGGGGCGTCAGTGATAAACTACATAATCAATAGATTTTCTAGGTATTTTTCCCACCCTTCTCAGGTGTGTCTCCCGTTTTAGCCGGGAAAGATTAAAAGAATCTTCCCCTACCTTGAGGGTGTGACAGAGAAATCTCCAACCCGGGGGTGATGTTTTATGTTGTCTAACCCTCGAGCCTCGGGTTGGAGATTTCTCTGTCACACCCTCAAGGTAGGGGAAGATTCTATTATTCTTCCACCTCTATGTTTACAACGTTCATGTGATTAGGAAGTGCATAAATACAAATTATTTGAGTTCAAAGAGTTCAGTACTTTGTCGACTGAAATTTTGAATGGTGATGCCATTCTAATGTAATATCTAGCACCATTAAATTGTCATTTTGACAAGCAAATAAATATTTATCAACAAAACACAGTCACAAACAGGAAAACAATTATTTAACATATGCATTCAGAATGTCATTGTCAATTTTTTACAAAAATGAGAAAAATAATCAGTCATTATGTCTGCATGGAGTATATCGGGATTCTACCCTCTGATGTAGAATTTTCATATCGCCTATCAATCACAGGTAGGATTAAAACATGACAGGGTACTGACCACAAGGGACTTGATGACCGCTGAGATCTGGTCACCAGCCACGTCCTCTCTGATGGCTACGTACATGTACGGTACGTAGGTGAGGAAGTACACAATGCCAGCACACGCGGCTGCTACCTTGGCCTTCGAGTAGAACGTGCTCACCAAGAACCTGGTACACACAAGTAATGTTATTATCATCAAAACAACAACAGGTAAAACCTCAATATAATGTTCATCGCTTTATTCGTCACCTCACTTACTGCCAACTTACTGTAAACATACAAATTTTAGGGGTATTCTTATTTTAGCGCTTTTCGTGCTTTATTAATGGCATTAATTTATGATTGGGCTATTGGAGGTTTCTGTGTATAGTTTTTTTTATTGTATATACTGTAAGGACGCTTACTTGTTAAAATTTGATAATACGCTAGAACTTGTGTCCACTTAAATTTGTTTTAATGTCACAGTATTTCAAGGTCCCTTTTTTTCTCTTTTTCTTAAGAATTTTTTTATACATTTCCCCTCATTTTATTGCCAAACCCCTTTATAATGCCAAACTTTTCCCTTAACAAAAGGTGGCAATACAATGAGGTCAAACTTTATTGGTGACCAAGATAATAATTCCTTTTTGCCAGGTGATGAAAATACATATCTTGAAAAATGAATTGAATGCATTTAAAAAAGTACATTTTACAATCCTAATTATTTCAGACATACAGGCCTTGAGAGTGTTTGATATTGAATTTAATTCATTTGTTTACAGGTTGAACACTAAATGGCTTCTAAATTGATTGACTTACGAGAATGCTATGGTGACAATGGCGAACACTTCCAGGGTAGTGAACACAACCCAAGGGTTACTGTGGGCCAGAACGTTGCCGATCTTGAGCATGATGGTCAGCAGGCCCATAGTGATGGTCATCTGTATGAAGGTCATGGTAAACCACGCGCACCAATGGACAGCATTGCTTAGACCCATCATCCTCATCACCTAGGTAACATACATGTCATTACAGTCACATCTAAACCATCATCTAGGTAACACACATGTAATAATTAGTCACATCTAAACCATCACCTAGGTAACAATCACCTAAATAATATGACAATCACATGACCATATTAGTATTAAGGCAAAGCATTGAGTACTTGATCATATAAACTCTATGCAGTGAGAGAGAAAAATAGTTGTGATTTTGAAAGTGAATAATTGTAGCAGTCATGGGATATGAATGGAAAATACTGTGTTACTGGCAAGCTTAGTATTTCCTTTGATGCATAATAAGCCGGGGACTGGCTCATTAGTTAAGCAACATTGAGTGTGGTCAGCGACTGGATGGGTGCCCACCTAGGCAACTCGTTTTGTCAATGTTAACAGTGTTGTAAAAGATAGATATGAATATTTGTCCTGTAGTTTAAGTCACCAGTCTTACTTTCAGCAGTCTAAAATCAGGTAAGAGCAGGAAACTTGATGAAGTATTATTTCTCCTCTCCAACACAGAACTTCCTAGCTGTTCTCGCTACCGTATTAGCCCCTCGGATAGTTCTCAAGGCCTTAGGTCCTCTAGGCACCTAGCATATTCCAGTAATTTCTACTGAGATCAAAATGAAAATAGGCTATGGGTACTATATATATATAGAGGACACACACTTCAGAAATGACTTAGAGACTGAGCAAGTATGAATGATATGGCCTTACCTCCTTCAGCCTTTGCTCTTTTTCATACACAATGCTCTGTACCAGCATGGCGACGGAGTAGACCCAGGAAATGGTCAGACACAGGGGCATCACATGTTCTATCATAAACACAAACCTAAAGGAAAAGACAACCATTCAAGTACACAACCAGGTCTGGTATAGATCAACAAATTTGTTAACTGCTTTCAATTCTTATTTACTGACAATATTTGCTGTCATTGGAATGTTCCAGAATACTGTTCCTAATTATTCTTAACCCTTTCACCCCTATGTAACTTTAGTAGACTCTGCCATGCATTGATATGGATGCGTCCATTATGGTCTACAGTGGTGAAAGGGTTAAGTCATAAATAAACAGACAAAAACATAGAAAATTCTCCATTAGAACAAATACAAATGTATTTACTTGCTTCAAAATATAATTGCATGGAGATCTGTGTAACATACATACTCATCGTATTTATAACAGGAGTGGGGGAACTGTGTTACATAGCTGCCAGGCTCCACGACGTCTCGCCCCACCTGTACGTCAACGATGGCGCGCTCTATGATGTCCTGAAACCAGAAGGTCAAGGTCGGTACAGACAGTGACACCAAAATCTGTTGTAATCTAACTGACTTTGCTTTTTCATTGTGCATGAATAACTAAGTTTGTCTGAATTAATTTTACTTTGTCTTGCTTCTTTGTCCAACTAATTGTACCTCACTTAATTATGATTTTCTGTGAAAACTTCCAGATTTAGAAACTATAAATGTTCTCCAAGTCAATGTCTGTTGTATTAGATGGTGTATGTTGGTTAACTGTATGTATCTCACTTCCTGGACTTCGTCAAATTATAAATTGAAAGACTTGAACACCAACTAGCAATCCCAGGACCCTAAAGCTGTAGTGACAGTAGGTAGAGGATCAACAGAATGAGGAGAGCATTCTGTCCTCCCAGTTATTACAACAAGGTCACCTTCCATGTGATTTAACCCTTTCACCACTGTAGACCATAATGGACTCTTCCAAATTAATGCATGGTAGAGTTCACTCAAGTTACATAGGGGTGAAAGGGTTAGGTAACTACTGACTACTTCATGTCAGTTGATAGGATAGATTAGATAGCAGAAACAATCATCCACCAGAACTCTTCAGGCCACATGTTAACCATACCCCTCGCACCCCCAATGTTAACAGTTAAAACGATTAATGTATTGCAATGTTCGCAACTATATTGTAAGCAATTGTCCAGAAACAACTTCTTTAAGTTCCCAAACTACCCCATAAGTACCACTTAGCAGGGTTTTTTTTTAAAGTACATAACACAAATATAGATGGTACTGCTAGAAACATCACCATGGTAACCTACCTGTATCCAGACAAAGCCAAATTGGTAGTAGGGGTGTTGCCACGGTCCTGGCCCTGGATACCAGTATCGATTCCGTACGTACTTTGTCGTCGGTGTGAAAGTTGCATTCTGTCGTATCTTGTATGTGACATGAGGAGGGAGACCTTCACCCTTCTTAAAGTTCTCAAATATCAAACCTGTGGATAACGGAAAAACAGACATTTCATTAGTGGAGACAAAAATAAAAGTTGTCCTTTGTCAAAGTCATTCTGATAACTTATTGATTTCATATTCTAATTATGTTTTTTTGAGATGTAACAAAAAGTTTCATTGGTTGCCTTAATAACTTTTCACCATATATCATCCTAAATTCTGAAGTTAATTTTATTTTAATTTCATTGTAAGGATTCCCTTATTCAATTGGTGTTTTTATATTGTTCACTTCTATACTTCTGAACAAAATATAAATATGCTAAAAATACAATCTATTAAAAAGGTTTCAATATACCAAACTGAAAGCAGAACTCCGAGTTTAAGGTTAACTTCAATAAAACCACTTATCCATCGGTGTCTGAGTGTGTGTGCCCTCCCTGACAAAATTATGACAACAGTGTGAATGATAGACATGAACAACTATAGACTGTATATATATTTCTAATGAATTATCAATAACCTGCGACTGTAGTGACATTTTCTGAGTACGCCTTGGTGAGGAAGTAATCCACAAGATCTTCTTCCGTGCGAAATCCACGGAACACGTTGAGGTTGATCCCGGCCAGTGTACTGAGCCAGCCACACGCTGCGTTGTCTATGTTGTTAAGCTCGTGGAGAAAGAAGGGAATGTCTGGTACGGAGCTGTTGAGGAACTCCTGGATGCCTTTCACTCCCCGTAACATTGAAAACATGCCCTGGTTGTTCTTCAGTTGTCGATGCATCTACAAGGTATGTATAAGGATTATTTCTGACGCATCGGTTAACAAGGTGCCTAAAAGGGTGTATATTAACCCTTTCACCCCCATGTAACTTTAGTAGATTCTACCATGCATTGATCTGGACGAGTCCATTATGGTCTACAGTGGTGAAAGAGTTAATACCTGAAACATAATTATAATTGTTGGAATCACAAATATCACGTTTCATTTTTTCCGGGTCATTTAGCAGGTATGATTCTGGCATTGCTTCGTGTATCAATTTCTGGTATTACTTTCAAAAGTGATGTTTGTTGTCTAAAATAATTAACATTTCTACTATAAATTCATGGTATTATTTTCAAAAGTAATGTCTAATTAAAAATGATTAACAGTTTTATTGAATTGACGTACTTGATCATTTTTCAAAGATGTTTGTATATGAATTATAGAATCGTGAAAGTGTTACCTCTTTGATGGAGGCCAGGTTGTACGCTGTGGAGTTCTCCATTAGGTATGTCCTCAACTCCCCGGAGATATTAAGCCACTTCCTGGCATACGTGCTGATCTCATCCATTAGAGCAAACGATTCATTGGCCTGGAAAACAACACAACAAAGTCATATACAAACAACATCCAGGAAAACAATCAATACAACACAACCAATTCCCACACCAACACCGCTCAAGGAGACAATATGTTTTCCTGACAATTTACCAATCTACCAATGCTATCCAGGAAATATTCCAACACCATCTGGGGGACAATCTATTTACTGTGGATTCCATTTGTAACAGGAAAGAGAGTAGTGCGCTTCCACCGGGAATCGAACCTGTGACCCCAGGCTTCCTACTCAAATGGTCTACCACTGAGCTAAAGGGAAATTCCCCCCAGCGCGAAGATATAAGCCGACCGTAATCCTATGTACAATTAAAATCTGCCACACACTTATTCATAATTCATCCTTTTTGAGAGAGAACAAATATTATAACACGGATATCGTAATAAACGTATAAGCTATTTGAGTAAGGTTCGGGTTGCCAGAACCAGAACTCCCATGATTGTCAGCCATATGACAATGATGGAAATACCAACACTTACTGAAGAACAAATCATATACCTACACAATTCTTTAGGAGAAAAGATCATCAACCTTTAATTCTATTAAAGACTTAGGCAGCTTCAAATAGTTAAACTGGTTAAATCTGTATTCATCATTTATGAAATAAGGATGGTCTTGGCAATCTGAGGTGGTTTATTGTTCATCTCTGGCAAATAGTTGAAGGTTTACAATAACACAAACAGGTTAGGCGGAATGGCTACAGGTGTATCCACATCAGTTTGGTATTCTACAAATCGTACGTGTCTTCATGGTACACAATATACTATATTTATACCTTTAGGGGACCTCATTGGAAATAAGCCTTCTATGGCTTTAGTGGGCTATCCCAGTGTTAGGCAAAATACGTGAATTATAGATATCAACTTTGTAAATAACCTACTTATATGAAATTGTTTTGTTGTGTATGCCTTTTCCTGAATAGATATTATTATTATTATTAACTCTCAAATCTTCTTTGTCCATTTGAAATTTTGTCATCTGATCATGCCTACAATCAGGTACACTGTACCTAAGAGAGGTGGTGGTAGTCACCAGAACTGACCTTCTTTATGATCTTGTCAGCGGCGGTGTTGTTTGGGGCATACAGGACTTTCGGATTGCTGTAGAGAACATGCACCAGGATTTTCAGGTTGTCTTGTTGTGCCCTTGATATCCCAAGGTCATCTGGTAACATTGGCGACATTGGAAAGTCAATTAGGACTCGTGCATTATTGACACTTATTCAAACATTTTTCCTGTTAGTTAATAGCTTATGTTTTCTTCTTATTCTGGGCTTTTCACAAGAAGCAAGAATCTATCAGCCAAATATAAAAAGAAGGTCTTTCATTTTCAAAAAACTTCCTGGATGTTTTGTAGAATTTATCCGAAACAGTTTGGAATGGACCCTCAAAAACAGTTGGACTTCTCTTGGTTAATTATCATAATGGAATGCACCTAATCTTAAATGCATAGTAATTATTATTGAAAACAAAATGGTGAATGAAATATTTTCCTCCATTGCTTTTCTTCAATAAACATCAACGACAACGGGACAGAAACACTGAGAGCCGAAGGTCTTACCAAGATTCAGGTCTTTAATGTCACTCTCCATACGTTTCTTGGGCACCTCCTTGGGCTGTCTACCACAAAATGTCCTCTGCATTCTATTCCACAGGTGCAGAAATCCGGCAAACTTTGGTGGCTTTTTGGTTTGTTGGTCAACCTTTTTATTGGCAAAATATATCAAGAAATTTGTAATGATGAATTCATGACCAGAGGCCACCAGACCTTAAAAACAGTCATCTGACCTGAGGTTTAATATGATTTTTTTTTTTTTAATTTTTGCTGAGATGTGACAAAGCATTATAATTCATATAAAGCAAATATGGCTTCCCCAGGGGGGAGTGAGTGTCCCTGGAATAAAGAAATTCACAATTTTCGTAAAGTACCTTTTGACATTCTCATCTCATTGATTCAAGCATACATATGGGTCTGAAGAGAAGACTTGAAATTTTAGCCAATTTGACAGGGGCAGAGCCCCTGAACGCCCCTGTGGGTGGCGGGAACCATATAATTTACATGGGTGGCGGGAACCATATAATTTACATGGGTGGCGGGAACCATATAATTTACATTTTTGTTATGTCTTTTTGGCCATTGAAACTTTCTGCAAAATTTTATTGAAATTTGTTGTAAACATAAATTGTAAATGGAGGCACAATGATTGCTTAATATCCTGTTTATCGTTACCTTGTCCTTTTTTTCATTGTCATCATCACTGTCATCATCATCGTCGTCATCATCATCATCCAGAGGCGATGATGTAGTTATGTTGCCTGCTGTAACGTTGACAGAATTAGAGGGGCTGGTCAGGTTTACTCGGCTGCATGAATCTTGTGGAAGGGTCTCAGCAAACACGCTCATCTCGTACAGGCTCTCTTGGAACTGGTAAAATTTCTGGAGCTGGACACAGTAAAGGAAGAATCATGTCAACATGAATTATGCTAAAAACATGCGGGCCACGATCAGTCCATTTTCTCACAGTATGGACAGTTTTCGGCCTTTCTCCTTTTCATGATAACACTGACCCTTTAGAAGTCAAAATCACATATGGATATAGTTTTGTGAAAGAATATGGTTGTGAGGTCAACAGTTTTTGGAAATAGGAAAAGACAATGATATAAAGAAGGGAATTCAATAAATAACAATAAGAAACTATTATGGAACTGATTTTGGACTTCAAGTTTAATCTGTGTTTAACACATCGGCATCAGCAATTATAAGGTTGGATTATAAATCAACATCTCTGTACTCCACTTTGTCTCCAGGTGAATACTCTTACTTTAAAGACTTAGTGTGACTAAAATCATTCAACAATCACTTTATGAAGTAGTTTCCAAATGAGTTTGTGTCAACCTCTGTTAGTATATATATGAAACCAGGGGCATATGATATAGACTCACCTCCTTCATGAATGTCTTGACTTTATTCTCGAGAGATGTCAAATTGACTGCATGCAGTTGTAACTGGAATGTCAAACATATATATTATATACAATTATTGGTCTCAGGACATGAATAAATGTAAATAGTGTTAATATCTACAAGGGGAGATCCTAACCACCCAGCACATCCAGTGAACACCGCTGTGGCAGGTAAATAACAGAATATTTCAGATTTTTTTTTTTCATTTTTAAATTAAATCTGGGTCCTATGATTGTACTTACGGCGTTGATCACCTCCTGGTCACTTATCTCCCTTTTGAGGAGGTTTGACAGGTCCAGCAGCTGTACCTTACTCATGTTACACACTCGGTTCTTGGCATCAGTCTACAGAGAAATACAGGGAAATACAGGGAAATACAATGAAAAACATTAAAAGTCCAGTATTGAAAGATGACTTGCATTATAAAAGTCTATTTGGTAGAGGAAACATTTGCAGCATAAATTAAGAGTTACGACTGTTTTGTTCTGGTTTGTTTTTTCTATTCACACCTTATATTTTTCCATTAATTAAAATACATAAACAAATCTCCCTGAAAAGTAGAACATGTAAACAATAAACCCCTGGAGACCTAAGTACATGTTAAGTCTAAAGTAAATCATGTTATATAACGAACACCAAGAGACCCAACTGATTAGTTCCCTTTTTTTTATATAAAACTTTTCAACAGGGGACCCAAGAAATGAACTTTCTACTGGTATAACTTATTAAAGTGATGTTTATGAGACAGAAAGATGACTTTGCTGTAAGCAAGAATTCATGCTAAGCATGTCCATTGTAAGTGTGTTTAGTGTGTTGTGTAATCTGTAATATCTCCAGGACATATACTTATTTTCTCAAAACATGTGAAGACATCTTAAAACTTACAATGTATGTCTCGTTACTGGTGGTAGCAGGAACAATGACTTTGAGGAACTCATCATTACAGGCTAGCTGGTGTAATGCTGTAGGAGAGAATAGCACCATCTGAAACAGAAAGAGGATAGTACCATCTGTAACAGTAAACACTAAATCTCACAAACCATTCACAGAATAGCACCATCTGAAACAGAAAACACCACCTTCTAATAAGCTATACAGAGAATAGTGCCACCTGAACAGTAAACACTATATCTCACAAATCGTATCAAGAATCATCTCACAAACCATACAGAGATTAGCACCATATGAAAGAGTACATAAAATTGCTGCTTCTGGATCAGTAGACACAATTACTGTACTTTAAAACTAAGAAAGTTGGGACTACATTTATATACAGTACCATGCCAAATCATAGGTAGGAAGAATTTGTTCTCTATACATATGTTCAAGCGTTTCCAAATTTTGTGACAGGATTTTCCTGAAGTAACTGTCAAAATCCAAATTGGCTGTCTAGCAGCCATATTGGGTTTTTTATCAGTCGCAAAATTAAACATGTACAACTAATTGACAAAGGGAAACTTACATATGAAATTTAAGAAAAATGTGTCAAGTACTTTTTCAGATATGTTGAAAACAAAACAGATAGGACTTCTTGACAAAAAGCGATAACATAAATAGTTTAAAGAAGGATAAACAGACCATAGATGAAGGCCACTTTGCCCAACCACCATCAGCAGATAGTGGGCTAAAACAAAATTTAAACTAGTTTTGCAATTATTTGCAATAAGAAAACTGTAAGTATTATTCCTGTAAAACACAAAGATGAATCACATGACAAAAAATACTTTGTAATATTCTAAGCTGACCTTCAGAAACTCAGCAGTCTCTCCTGGAGTAATAGTATTTAAATCTTGGTTGCTGTCGATCAGCCCTAGGTAGGGGACAAGGAACTTCTGCACCAGTGGGTCAGCCAGCAGACCGTCATTCTCGATAACCTTGTAAAACAGGGCTTCCGGGGACTCTGTACTTTGTGAGTGAAGGGCTTCCTCTAGAAGTTCACTCTCATTTAGAAAGGACTGAAAAGGCACTTGCTGGAATTCATTTTGGTGAAAGAGCGGAGGAAGTTGTAAATCCCCCAGGCTTCTTGTGATGTCTCTACGGAGTCTCCGTAAAATGGTGGCATGTGTTGTCTCTGGATCTACTCCAAATAATAACTTGTTTAACTGCAATCAAAGTCTGCGACTTAACAACATACCAAAGAAAATAAACATAGGTATAATTCTACAATTTCATTTATATTTTGACAGATTTATTCTCACATCAAAGTGTGAGGTAAATTGTTATATTGTAATTTCAAATTTTGCAAAAAATGATATACAGCAACACATTGAACATATAGATTGATTCCTTCACAGATTAATATGCTTGCAAATTTGTTGTTCAAAGAACAATCGTACCAATTTAAGCATTTGTAAAAAAGAAGTGTGTCCGAAATTTTGTTACTACAAACATTTACTGCAAATAACATTTATTGAAACCATTCAATGTTCAAACTTAACCTAAGTGATATGACAATTCATGTTACTAAATTTATCAATTTCAATCAATATCTGAAGTATAATATGTAATTGAACACTTGGCCAGAATGTTAGCTAAATGTTAGTTTCATTTTTCAAAAAAGATTTGATCCATTAATATTTGATTGAACTGATTATCTGTTACCTCAGAGATGTGAATAGTGGCGTTCATTATGGTGTTTATATCATCCATTGGCAGAGAAAGGTTGCTGTGAAGGTACTTGGCAAACTTCAGTCTGTTCCCGACCACGGAACTTAGCTGGAAATCTGTTAACATTACAAAGTTAACATTACAAATATATATAGTAGATAGAGGGCAAACTTCTGTCTGTCCCCGACCACGGAACTTAGCTGGAAATCTGTTACAAATATACCCAGCACCATGTTTTAACTGCTTCTAAATACTGAACCCATTTTTTATGGGGAGGAATACATTATGCACAACTGGAAAAAAAACTTGAACTTCTATAACTTTATTAACCAAAAAAGGTGCTTTTTTTCATTTTCGCTTGCAGTGATTGTGATAATGGAGAAACATTATCACAACAACAGTCATGTTTTTTTTTCACAATTTCTTCCAGTGTGATAAACAGTATCTATAATTGTGGTGACATAATAACACTACCTAACTAGAAAATATGTATGAAACTGACATATACCTTCACTACTGCTTTGACGGAAATGGGGCAAAATGCAAAGTCTAATCAGTCTAATCAAAGTCAGTGAATCAGACAGTATAAGTCACAGTGACCTACATTTGTTATATTGGTATATTATTCCACAAGATGTTTTTACATGTGAAGTTTGAAGGCTGTTGGACATCTAGTATTCGAGTAACGGAATTAAATGAAAAGTCTAACCAAGATATATCGCGTGGACAAAAGGACAGCAGAGGGAAAAGGCAAACACTTTTAATTCATAAGTTCTCTACTATGTGGCCAATAAATTGTTAAAAACTTATTTGAATGCAGAAAGTTCTATTCAATCATCTCTGTGAATGGCAGATTTAGTGGCTTTGTCCACCGCGATATCATTTGAACAGATGCGTATGATTTGTGGGTAGACTTAGTGGCTTGCTCACCATGGCCATGTTTGAACAGCTCGTGCAGTGTAGCAGGGTCATCAATGATACTTTTGTAGATGTACGGTAAGTCATCCATCTCCGAGGGCGTGTAACCGGGGTTGAAGAAATGGTGGTTCTTAGCAACTGACTGCAGCTGGTTCAGGAACTGGGTGGTACTATGAAACAAACAAGACATATAAATGTGTGTTTCTATGTTACATCAAGTCTAAAGCACCCCTTACCCATGCACCTCCATCAAATCATCTCTCCTACTTTTGAAAAAAACCCAAAAAAACAACAACAACAAGAGGCCTAGAAGGCCGGTTATTATTGCTTACNGGGGGGGGGGGGGGGGGGGGCAGTCCTTTATATAACTATTGATTTACTGGTCACACCAGTAATTTAAAGCAAATTAGCTAGGCTGAAACATAATCTATTGGTGAGAAGGAATAAGCTTTTAAAGACTAAAATGCCCAATTGCCCCCATTTGGGTCTTGTCCCTCAGCCTCAAGAGGATCTGCACTATTCCTTTGGTTGAGATCTGTATATGGTTAATGGGACCCTGGGACAAACAGTATTTGGCCTAGGTTATTACTCTGGGATTAAGTCCCCAGGAGTGGGACCAGAACCTGGAGGTAACCCTGGTACATAGGTATAACATGATTGTGTTCATCTCTCCAAGTCCTGCAAACATGCAGTTATACATTTATAGGGTAGGATTTCAACTGTTATATTACCAAGGGACAAAGTCCAAAGAAGCAGGGCCAATACCCATAGCATGAGCAAATTTATTTCTTCATGTCTAGCAACAGGAGGCACGGTAGGATGCCGGGCTTGTGACCGAAAGGTTGCGGGTTCGAGTCACGGCACAGCACTGTGTTGTATCTTTGAGCAAGATACTTTACTCTGGTTGTTCCAGTCTACTTAGCTGTAAATGAGTATGTGGTTGGACAGTGCTAGAATTGTAGAATGCTAGCTGTAAGCGCTGAAATGGCAGCTTCGGCTGTATGCTCCCCAGGGAGTTAAGAAAAGCCCTATAATTATAACCACAGATGATAATTTGTGAACCGTTTTGAGACAACCTACAAACTAGGTTGTGATAAAGAGGTATATAAGAACCTTGAAGTATTATTATTATTATTAATTATTATAACAGATAGCAAATTGGTTATATGTTTGGGATCTAAACTATTTCTCTAATACAACCTATGAACCGAGTCCCTAGGGGCAGGGCTAGTTCCCAATCCAATCCAGGTAGCATGATTATGTTTGTTTCTTCCTGTCCAGCAAATGTTTCCATGATATGAACCTTGAAGTGCTTGAGCTAGGCCATATACTTTTCTATTTCCCTTAATGGGCATGGACTCTCTACCCCCATGAAGGACCATGTCCTCTTTTTATACAACATATTTTGAGTTTCCTGGCCCAAAGATGCCCCAGGGGCCACAGCCTCCAGATATACAGCATTGAGCCCCTATGGTTCTAGGATGCTCCAGTTTAATTTTCTTCAAGCACACAGAAGGAGAAGGATTCAAAAGACTTACTTTATATCCCTCATTGGGTACCACACCTCTAGTTCTAGAGCGGGTGGCATATCCATTATGTATACAATACTGAGTCCCTTGGCCCAAAGATATACCCGGGGAAAAATTGACAAAATCTCTTCATATGTACTAAAGGAAAATGATTTTAAATAATTACCTCTATTTCCTTCATAGTGCGTGACCCTTTGGGGATGCTCTTTTGCAAACTTGGATGAAATGTCGTTATTCACATGGAAGGAAAAGGATTGCAAAGATTTACCCACATTTCCCTTATTGAATTGCATCCCTCTGCCCCCACACCTTCCATTTAAACAAAATTTAATTTGAGTCCTGTCTTCAGACCAAACTCAGTCAAAATCCTAACAGCTGTTCTGGACTAGAAGCATATAAAAGGAAAAGTTGACAAAAAGGGAAAACAGACAGATGACCAACTATGTGCCACAACATAAACAGGATATGTAAAAGTATGGTCAACTTGCAATAATGATGTTTCCAACCAAATACATGTATATTAAACCAAAATCACCAATTTCCTCCATTGGGCCCATGCCCTTCTGGCCCTTAGGGCTTACACCAATTTGGTTTATATAGTCTGCAATCTGTGCAGCTATTTGGGAGGAGTAGGATTTCAGAACAAAACCTGACGAGGGACGCCGGAAAATCAATAATTATTGTATATGTATATCTAAAGCACATAGCAATATTTCCAAGGCCATTTCCTATGAAAAGCAATCTCAAGATAGCATATTTGTAATAAATGTCCTGTATGTATGTGTATACATTTCCAGTCTGCAAACTACACACTACTTTCAATGTAATAAACCTACAAACACATCCCCTGATTCACAAAGGGATGTATGCAATTGACATTTAGGTCAAATTCCCTTTCCGAAAGGAAATATTCTGGGTCATGCAACAATCCGATAAAGAATTGAACATTATGTATAGACAGGACGACAAATGAACAATGAGTTCCCATTTATGTTTCACACAATGTAGACAGGACACTACAAAAATATAAGTACATTGTATATATATCAGATTTTTCTGTCAGTGTTGGTCAACATTACACTAATTAACTTATAGATCAAGTCTTTTAATATCTCTCATGTCATGTATATATAAGTATTGTACTGAAATATAAACATGAAATTTGTGATAAATTATGGGTTACTTTTTAACATTTTAAATATTTTCATGAATTTTTGTGCTTTCAAATCTTACCACAATCTTAACAGTACTAGATCTAGTTATATTTTACAAAATATGTGTTAAATACATAATTTTCTCTCAATTTGATTCTGTTAAATTTTAAGCAAATAAGTCCAGTCTTTTAACTTTATAAGTACTGTATGTGACAAAATTGATATTTATATCTCTCTTAAACTACTGTGATGTGCGCATTAAGCAGCCCTCGCTGGTAGGTGGCTCCCCAACCCTTGGAAACTTGATGCACCGCGTACATAATGAACTATAATTATATATGCTCATGTGATATTTGTTTTATTTCATGTATTGTGTTTGTCTTATCTTGTATCACATTTACTGTTATTTATATTTATCATGTTTGTCGAAATACAAGCTCCTGAGAGCTTACGTTAAATTGTACACCCTACTCGACGTTAAATAAAGCTTCTTGTATCTTATATCATATCAATAAACATTCACAAATTACAGTACCAATAATATGCCCCCTAAGTTACACTGAGAAAACACTGCGGGAAATGGCCACACCAAAACATTTCAATAATTTATTTATCCTCGGAGCATATCTTTATAAATAGATTTCTGATCACTAAGTCATGGTTAATAGAGAAATATTCAATGAAGCATGAATTTTATAACAAGAGTACCGCGGGGCGGAACAATATACACCCGTTGAATGCCATATAGTGTTATATACTTTTTTACATTGAAATAAGATCTGCATCATTCTGAGAGTGGTTAGCTGACTCGGATAAAAAAGTGTAGGAGAAAGTCTACGGACAAAAAAATCAAATACTGAAATGAACAAAGGGCAATACCAAGTATCAAAGAGATCTGTTGAAAAATGTAGGAGAAGATTGCTTGACAAAAATCAAATACTGAAATAAACGAAGGGCAAAAATTTGCAAAAATTGGCTAATCAAAATTCTGTTAAGGGAGACACAACTTCATATCATGATTATAATGTATACCAAGTTTCAAAGAGATCCGTTGAAAAATGTAGGAGAAGATCTCCAGACAAAAAATCAAATAATGAAATGAACAAAGGGCAAAAACTTTTGCAAAAATTGTTGAATCAAAATTCTTTTAAGGGAGACACAACTTCATATCATGATTATGATGTATACCAAGTTTCAAAGAGATCCGTTGAAAATTGTAGGAGGGAATTGCCGGACAAAAATCAAATACTGAAAAAAACAAAGGGCAATAACTTTTGCAAAAAGTTGTTGAATCAAAATTCTGTTAAGGGAGACACAATTCCATATCATGATTATGATGTATACCAAGTTTCAAAGAGATCTGTTGAAAAATGTAGGAGTAGATTGCCAGACAAAAATCAAATACTGAAAAAAACAAAGGGCAATAACTTTTGCAAAAATTGTTGAATCAAAATTCTTTTAAGGGAGACACAACTTCATATCATGATTATAATGTAAACTAAGTTTCAAAGAGATCGGTCAAAAAATGTAGGAGAAGATTGCCAGACAAACAAAAGTTTACGCTGACGGACGGACAAACCCATACCATAATACTCCCGTCAAATTTGACAGGCGTATAAAAATGAAAGATCACTGAACCCTAAATTTCATGTCTAAGCAACATTTCAGTGCTGTTAACTATATATATATACAGGGAGACAGACTGTTGACCCAGTCACATGTATTCAGCTAGCAATAAGATTCAATCATCCAGAACTTTTCTTATAAACTTTTGGAAAAATGCACGTTGATCAATCCCCAATCCATTATCATTGTATTTTCGTCAAAGTTTTACTGCAATGTTCCCAATGAAACAACTGATGGTCTGTGTATTTACAAAATGAAAACAGAATTTGTTCATAGTATGGAAACGATATAATTTCACCAAAGCTTGTTTGACAGAATTATTTTTGAACAGGAACCTGCCTGACAGACTGTTTACATTATTAATCACTGTACCATATACAGCTAAATCAAAGAGTAGGAGAGCATGTAAAAACATGTACGATGTGAAGGTCCTGTGATGTACATAGCATTACACTGACTTAACCTGGAGCTGTTTATCAGCACGTCTAGACAGGGTTATAGTGTACATAACACTGAAGTCTGGGGTCTATACGGAGAGCAGACTTGGTCATTAACAGACAGATTATGATACACTCACAGCTAGCTGGGCCATGACAGTTTATCAACAGACTTGGAACCTTAAGGGGCCATACCAGATCAATAACAGGCTAAACCACTGCAAGGCCATATCAGGTGAACAACAGGCTAGGACTGTTACAGTGCCATATCAGGTCAACAACAGGCTAGGACCGTTACAGGGCCATACCAGGTCAATAACAGGCTAAACCGCTACAGGACCATATCAGGTTAACAACAGGCTAGAACCGTTACAGGGCCATACCAGGTTAATAACAGGCTAAACCATTACAGGGCCATACCAGGTCAATAACAGGCTAGAACCGTTACAGTGCCATACAAGGTCAATAACAGGCTAGGACCATTACAGGGCCATACCAGGTCAATAACAGGCTAAACTGCTACAGGGCCATATCAGGTCAACAACAGGCTAGAACCATTACAGGGCCATACCAGGTCAATAACAGGCTAAACCATTACAGGGCCATACCAGGTCAATAACAGGCTATAACCGTTACAGGGCCATACCATGTCAATAACAGGCTAGGACCGTTACAGGGCCATATCAGGTCAATAACAGGATAGGACCGTTACAGGGCCATACCAGGTCAATAACAGCAAGGCTAAACTGCTACAGGACCATATCAGGTCAATAACAGGCTAGAACCGTTACAGGGCAATACCAGGTCAATAACAGGCTAAACTGCTACAGGGCCATATCAGGTCAATAACAGGATAGAACCATTACAGGGCCACACCAGGTCAACAACAGGCTAGACCCGTTACAGGGCCATACCAGGTCAATAACAGGCTAAACTGCTACAGGACCATATGAGGTCAATAACAGGCTAGAACCGTTACATGGCCATACCAGGTCAATAACAGGCTATACTGCTACAGGGCCATATCAGGTCAATAACAGGCTAGAACCGTTACATGGCCATAACAGGTCAATAACAGGCTATACTGCTACAGGGCCATATCAGGTCAATAACAGGATAGAACCATTACAGGGCCATACCAGGTCAATAACAGGCTAAGACTGCTACAGGGCCATATCAGGTCAATAACAGGCTATGACTGCTACAGGGCCATATCAGGTCAATAACAGGATAGAACCGTTACAGGGCCATATCAGGTCAATAACAGGCTAAACCGCTACAGGACCATAACAGGCTTAGACCATTACAGGGCCATACCAGGATAATGGACCATTACAGGACCATACCAGGTCAATAACAGGCTTGGTCCCTTACAAGGCGAAATAAGGATATTGACAGACTTGAACCATTACAGAGCCATACAAAGGATACTAACAGACTAGGTCCCTTACAAGGCGAAATAAGGATATTGACAGACTTGAACCATTACAGGGCCATACAAAGGATACTAACAGACTAGGACACCCACAATGTCATACTAGCATATTAATAGGCTTGGGCCCTTTCAGGGCCATACCAGGACCTTAATAGAATGTCTACGACACTTGCAGGGCCATAACAGGATATTAACAGACTTGGGCCCTTATAGGGCCATACCAGGACCTTAATAAAGTGATAAGGACACTTGCGGAACCATATCAGGATATTCCATTCAGACAAGGACATGCACTCTCTGGGCCAAACTCACAGGTCTAGACTGTAACAACACATAGAGCTGAAGTCACACAAAATAGTTTTATTACCTATCCAGATGGCAAAGTATTTACAAATCAATAATTGACCATGCACTGGTATTTTCTCAAGAATAATTTTGTGTCCATCAATAGTCAAAGAAAACTACAAAATTCCGACCAATCAATAATTTAGAATGACATACGGGTTGTATGGAGTTCATTCATCCTATAGAAGATATAGAAATACTCTATACTAGGAGATGATCATCAAGCAAAACATTCATCTATTCAGGTAAAATCCATATTGGCCAATAGTTAATTTCATCCCTCACAGTGGAAATACTACATGTAACGTAATTTTATATATATAGCTGTGTACACTATCTATATACATCTTTGTGAATTCACCAACCAGAAGATGAACTTTAAGGATTCCTGGCCCACTGCAGGCAAAACGAGAGTTCCACTGTGGTTTTTTATACATACAGTAACCCCCCTAATGTTGTTTAGGATATATAGTAGTGAACAGTAACAAGGCTGGGCCAGACCAGGGGTCTCAGTGGGTTAGGGTGACAGTATAATGGTCAGTCGGTAAGGGTGTCAGTATAATGGTCAGTCTGTTAGGGTGACAGTATAATGGTCAGTCGGTTAGGGTGACAGTATAATGGTCAGTCAGTTAGGGTGACAGTATAACGGTCAGTTGGTTAGGGTGACAGTGTAACGGTCAGTTGGTTAGGGTGACAGTATAATGGTCAGTCGGTTAGGGTGACAGTATAATGGTCAGTCGGTTAGGGTGACAGTATAACGGTCAGTCGGTTAGGGTGACAGTATAACGGTCAGTCGGTTAGGGTGACAGTATAACGGTCAGTCGGTTAGGGTGACAGTATAACGGTCAGTCGGTTAGGGTGACAGTATAACGGTCAGTCGGTTAGGGTGACAGTATAACGGTCAGTCGGTTAGGGTGACAGTATAACGGTCAGTCGGTTAGGGTGACAGTATAACGGTCAGTCGGTTAGGGTGACAGTATAACGGTCAGTCGGTTAGGGTGACAGTATAACGGTCAGTCGGTTAGGGTGACAGTATAACGGTCAGTCGGTTAGGGTGACAGTATAACGGTCAGTCGGTTAGGGTGACAGTATAATGGTCAGTCGGTTAGGGTGACAGTATAACGGTCAGTCGGTTAGGGTGACAGTATAACGGTCAGTCGGTTAGGGTGACAGTATAACGGTCAGTCGGTTAGGGTGACAGTATAACGGTCAGTCGGTTAGGGTGACAGTATAATGGTCAGTCGGTTAGGGTGACAGTATAACGGTCAGTCGGTTAGGGTGACAGTATAACGGTCAGTTGGTTAGGGTGACAGTATAATGGTAAGTCGGTTAGGGTGACAGTATAACGGTCAGTCGGTTAGGGTGACAGTATGATGGTCCGAGTCATGGGTTCAAACCCTCGTCTGGCCATGTTGTATTTATACACTCTGAACACTGTTGCTGGTTTGAATCGCCTCTAACTTTTCATATAAGTGCATGCAGGGTAAGTTTTTCTTTTCAAAAATGATTTATCAAAACTTATATGAGTCATGCCGGAAAAATCAGGTTCTAATGCAATGTTACAATGTTTGGCAGTGGTACAGGATCCTTTTACTGTGGTCTTAGCTATTCCTGGTGTACAATATTTCCAACAGACACCCTGTTTCACTGCGTGCATGGCAAACAAAATTATTTTTGAAAACTCTTAAAAAAATCAGGGGAAAACAGAAGAATTCTGTATCATCACATTTCTACAGTTAAATCATTTTTTTAGTAATTTCATTTTTCAAAGGCTACAATCAATCTCCCCAAAAAATCCATTATGGTGGCAAGCTTATCGTTCGAGATTTTTTTTTACAAAATGATCCTTTATGAGATGGATCATCATCTATACAGATACTTCAACTACTATATTTATACCAGAGCAGGCAGGATATCAAATGAAAATATAATCTAAATAATATCATTTCCATAAACCTGGAACATGAAAATTCAATCACTGTTGTAGACACCTTATTACACAAGTCTGGCTCAGCTCCTCAGGACTAGCTCCAGAGACGGCTAACGAGCACCTACGGCACTAGTTACTGCCTAAAACCCCCACTCTTGTTTTCTTACAATATCATTCCAAGCTACTTTTATGGCTTTTCATACAGAACAGATTTCAACAGGCTCATAAAGAAGAAAAGTACCAAAAAAATATAAAAGTTAATCATCTTTTACGTTATTTATTTTCATTTTTTTTCCCCCTCCAATCTCAATACAGTACAAGTCATTAATTTCTCTACAGTTTTAGATTATACTTTCCTGTTTGCTTGAAATATACAAAGGACAGTTGTACCGTTGTTCTAAATGATCTAATGCCTAGAGCCAAACAAAGTAGCAACAGACATCATTGATACTTTGATACTTATTACACCTTACAAAGGATTAAACTTTTAACCACCCTCATTAGGAGTAGGTGCTCTAGCAATCTGGCCAACAAAATGGACATCATCAAGGATTGTGGTCTAGCAAGCCTAAAAAAATAAAGCGGCTGAAATATGGACAACCGTCAAAAATAAATCTGACCATCTTTTCAGCTTTCTGTTTGTAATAAAACTTTTGAAATTTTGTGTGATATTTATAATTTTTTATAACTTGAATTGCTAATTCAAATTTCCAGAAGAAAATGAAATGTGCTGACATCTGTACATACTTTGCATGATGAAACTCGCGGAAGCCATTCTTGTCTTTGGACTGTCCTCCGTCACAAAACATCTGCATAATTGGCACAACACCAGACGATGGTAACGGTTCTGCATAATAGTTTCCTGAAATGTGTCAACAAAACAACCCGATAAGGAGGAACTCAAAAACAAAGCAGGTTTTATGACAAGTGCGGGAGCAACTACTAGAGCAATTAGTTAACAACAAATGATGTTAAATCTAGGCCCATGGTAGTAAAGGTCAATGCTGTCACAAGGATCATTTTTCTTTTCCGATACCACAGCTTTTCTTTACAATCTGTGAATTGTTTATGACCATAATCAGCTTGAATTCAATTTTTGCAATTGTTAATATTTGTATATCCAAAATGCGATAATCCTCCCAACATTTTTGCATATACCCAAAATTGAAATCTTTACGCTTTAAATGCGGTGCTTAAAAGTTGGAAGTTCTACGAACACAACATCCTTGTGTGCTAGTGTAATGTCAAATCATACATCCATTGTGACAATCGCTTTGCTAGTGTAACGACATTAAATGTTTCTGCCTGTATCTCCTCACAACAGTATTGAAGAAGGAAGAAACCAGGTTTTACATAGTGTTACACTTTGCATTCTGTCTAAGGCTGGATGATAAAACATTAGTAACAAAGTAGGATACACCATGTAGGGGAACCTTCCTTTCCTGTCCAAGACAGAGGTGGGCACAGGTAAATGTCATCACAAATGCTCATTTTCTTATCATAAATATTCACTTACGAGTAAACATAATTATGCAAGTAAATTTTATCTTGAAACAAAAATGTTACGTCTTTTTCATGCAAAAAGTTACAAAACTTGTAAAATCAAAGGCCATCTCTACATCAGCTCTTTGTAATCTGTATTTGCGTATTGCAGAGTTATCTTCTCTTGTGAGCAGGTATTGATTGTTACGTCATTGGTTTGTATGAGAAAATTATGTTGTTTTCTCAAAAATTTATGACGTTACTCTCACAAACAAATGACGTAATAATCAATACCTGCTCACAAGAGCAGATAACTCTGCAATACGCAAAGACAGAATATATCAACGTATATTTTAAAGTTAGAAAAGGCATGTGTCTAGAAAGCATGTTGTGTCATTTACCTTGTGGCATGGGCACCGCTGGCTGTTTTTTTCTGATGAGGATCAAGATGACAAACAGGACAAGGGGGATGAAAACCTCGAAAAGCAGCACAAACTGAAACATATAAATATGCAGAACAATATAGCTACCAAAGAAAATATGAGAGGAAACTGTCAGTCAAGAAAATCCCATACTTTTGACATCAATGTTCTAGAGAAACAGAATTGGATCATTTATTGACACATGTACATGTAGTATGAAATACACAACACAAAGTCAGTCATTGACATCAAAATAGATTGAAAGCACACAACTAGCAATGGTATTGAGCATGCAAAAGAACTTTCATAAATATTGGTCAATTAAAGGTACTAAGTAGCAGTACTTTGGACAAAGTTTATAAAAAGGGACATAACTCATGTCAAAAGTACCAAAAGGTACCAATGCTATGTACTCCTAACTTTCTCAAAAATTGGTGGAGAAGTTAAGCAGCATTGTGCTGGAAAAACGTTCATGCACAGATGAACTGATGGATGGGCAGACGGCCACCACCTGGTCCCAGTATTCCCTTCCTCCACCAAATTGTTAATCAGCAATTTTTATATCACAGTCTCCAAATCAGCCGATTTAGGCCTTATATTTATTCGATTCCTGGAAGTTTGACAGGATATCATCTTAACTAAACCGATATTTGTCTTTTGGTGAGCTTGTCTAACATATGATATGGAGTCCGACCTCCTCATAAATTACAGACAACGTGGTATGGTGTTTCTCATCAGCTTCTCTCACGTGATAAACTGTACTGGCAGCAACCCAAAACACTTTCGTGCATCATGTGAAATAAACCATCCTTCTCCTCAATCGCTTCATCAAAGAGTTGCGAAGCATAGCCTCACCTTTACAATTGGCGTAATTTGAAATGTGACATTCTCAAATTAATTCGCATAAACACACGGCTACAATGAAAAGATGGAATGAGTGATGCGTTTCTGGGTTAGTGTTGGCTGAAGGATCAGAAATCATTTCAGCAGAGAGAGCTAAAAAACGATTACATTTTCCAAATTAAGTTGCCTCACCTCAGAGCTATATGATGTAATAGAACAATGGACTGTGTTATCCATGTTTGGATAATCCAGAATCAGAATTCATTGCACAAATATTGTATATCTTTTTCATTGATTAATGAACCCAAAGAAAATTGATTCCAAACAAATATACAGCTATGTGAATGCCATTCAGCTCACGTCTAGTAATTTCTCTAATACATGTTGTGGTACACTTGAATGGATTACTTTCAATTAGATCAAAAATCTAGCTATAATTCCGAACATGGTTTATCTCAAACTGAAATATATAAAGTTACCAGTGCATATGTGGCAAGACATGCACTTATAAGGTGGCTGGTTTAAGGTTATTTAAGGGTTGACTATGAAATGGTCCTCACACTACCATCACAGGAAGCGCTTAAAGTATTAGATACACTTCAGACTGAAGATTACATCAAATACCACACTGCATGACATTAGACTATTGTTAATTATAATTTTTTTTTTTTTTTTTCAAAAAGTCCTATGCATTCAGACTGTTATTTGTCATATTTCTTTTTCAAATTTCAATGAAATAGTCTTCAATCTCATTTAAAATCTCACACAAATACAAAAAAGGATTGAAAAGAAAGGTGACTATTATTAACTTCTGATGATATCTCTCCAATTCCTTACATATTAACTCATTCACCCCTACACATTTAAACTGGACTTGCCTATTCTTTGATTTGGTATGTTTCAAATTTCACTTTAGGGGTGAATGGGGTTAAACTTGAGATATTAATCCCCAGCAAATTCCCCTGCATCCCTTTTTCGTTTTCGGCCAAATCAAAAGCAACTATGGTGTAACTGACTTCAGTGTCCTCAAAAAATGTCATCAATAATATACGGGAAAAAAAGGCTACCCATATTAAGGCCAGAAACCAACATGTCTTGTGTAACGGACAAACGAACGGTCAGGTGGACAGAGTGTTTGTGCATACCCATAAACGTGGTTTGTATATTGGTACAAGTATTACCAGTGTTATGCAGGGTCATATTGGTACAAGTATTACCAGTATTATGCAGGGTCATATATGAAGTCAGTGTTATTTTCATTATGACCTTTGATCATTAAGCTGTACTTTGTACATTTCTGATTGATCAAGTCAGCGATGTGCAACCATGTGCCCTACATATGAACTTTTATACGTGGAAACACTTACCTCGATCCCCACATTAACATACTTTTTCTACATTCACATTCAGTATCTGATCATGTTGATTCACATCAACAGGCATTGAGCTTGTTCATAGGTTTATAAACTCAATTTCAATCAATTTATTTTGACTACAAAGATGGGTGTAGGTATTGTATATGCATACTAAAGTTATGGTAATTATTACTGAAATGAAAATAGGACAACCTACAAAGTTCTCCAATAATAGCAGACCTGTTGATGTAGAGGGTTTCAAATGGCTTCTATTAATTAAATCTCAGAGGGCTTCTCATGCAAATAACAAAAGAATATTTATGGAAGTTATCACATTCAAATATCCATGTCTCAAGTGCCATTGTTCATATTTCTAACTCATTTGATGTCAGAAATCTAATTTAAGGAGTTTTCATACCATTTATAGATCAATCCCCATGAAAATTCACTTATGTTACTAAATGAAAATTTAGAGAATTTTTTTGATAACTTAAAATTCAATTTTCAAAATCAAACAGCCTGAAATAGGTTGATAAAAGCTTCAATAGATATCAGATACACTGAATGTTTCAAAATTAAGTCCTTCAAAGTAACGTGTCATTTTCAAAAGCGAACAGGTTGATAAAAGCTTCCAAAGATATTAAATACACTGAACATTTCAAAAGTAACATATCAAGTCTTTGAACGTTTCAACAGGTTCGAAGTACATTAAACATTTTAACATGTGATGTACGAAATACTGAATGTTTCAACTGAATTATTATGGAACCAAATTAGTGCAGATATTCTTGTTTCAGGAAAGTGAATTTAAAAGCTAATATTTCAAATTATAATACATGTATACAGAAATTATTACTGTACTCAGACATCAGTGAATTCCTCGATATTTGCTGGATTGAAAGTTAGTCACTGTAACTATAATATTCACTGTAGTTTTGTTGTATTTGAGAACATGACAGTTGATTACAAGGTGATACTTCACTTTCACCGTTTGTGTCAGATCTAAATTGTTGATGATGCCGTACACGTCCAAACTGTGTACACTGATATTACCCCAGGGATACAAACATAGATATGAAGCTGTAACAAGCGCCTACCATACCACATACACATGCAATTACTGAGCACCATTAAATCCATCGCAAAATTTTAATTGATACAAAGCCAATTCATAAAGTTTGAAATCCCCTGTTACCAAAGAAAATGTCGTTCTCAAGCGTCGTAAAGCACAAAGCTCTCAAAATCAATAGCGGAAGCATGTTGCAGAACCATCACATCTCCTTTGGGGCCATCGGTGAAAAACGTCTTTGATTACAAGTCAGCGCTTTATTTTTGTCAGTAAAATGTTTGACATGCTTTGCTTTGACATGTATTTATAGTGACTATACTTCAGGAACAGTCAAATTAATATTTCCCAGAAACAAATTACATATCTTTCCATCAATTATTTTTTTTGTACAGTAAGACAGGTTAGGCTTTAGTAAGGCAAGCTTACGTACGAAGTATCCCTGAACTCTTGGTACGAAAGAATCAACCTGATAATACAAACTGTCCTTACAGATTTGTTTTATATTTTAGAGTAGACAGGTATGAAAATAAAATGCAGGTTAATTACATGAATTTCAGTACTTGTAACTTTCACTACCAGTTGGATATTTGTGTTTGCCCCTAAAACACAAGTCCAAAAGATAGACATACGATAAATCATGTTATGTACATATGTGATGCAAATTTTGCGAAGTTTTAGATTTCAGCTTTTTTAATTTTCACATCTTTATCTCCGTAGTATATAGATGTTATGTAAATGTACGATATTTTTCACAAGGTAATCAAAAGTTTGTGGAGTTTTTTTCAAAGTTTTCCTCCTTTTGCTAAAATAGATACTCGCCAATAAACCAAAAATCTTTTCTCTTTGGATTGCCATCTTTTAATCATCCTCCTGTCAACAGGGTTGATAATGAAATCATCAAGCAGTACACATACAGAATGAGGTGTTTACACAATTCTTTACATATAAATTCATTAATTAACACAATTAAAGACAATTAGAGAGTTCAAAAATATATTGAAACTGATAATGGTGACTCTGCGAAGGAAAAATTTGATATAGAATGGCAAAAATGGAAAAAGCTAATTGATTTATAATATAGAGTACTCTTGTTGGTTTTTACTTGTAAATTACTATTATTAGTACCAGTGTTACTGTTATGTATATATCAAGTAGGCTTCTCCCGGCCCTTGGCAAAGCTGAAAATATTATGCCAACTTCTTCTATTTTGTTTCTATTTTGTTTTCTATTTTTTTTTTCTTTTCTTTAAACATCTATAATTCTTTCTACATTTTCTTGTCTGTCCAGCCAATCAAGTGCAATATACATTCATGTTAATCTGACCTTATTCATCACTGCAGGTATACAATAGACATGTAAATCTGACCCTACTTATCACTACAGGTATACACTAGACATGTACATCTGACCTTACTTATCACGACAGGTATACAATAGACATGTAAACCTGACCTTACTTATCACTGCAGGAATACAATAGACATGTAAATCTGACATTTCTTATCACTGCAGGTATATACAATAGACATGTAAATCTGACCTTATTTATCACTGCAGGAATACAATAGACATGTTAATCTGACCTTATTCATCACTGCATGTATACAATAGACATGTACATCCGACCTTACTTATCACTGCAGGAATACAATAGACATGTTAATCTGTCCTTATTCATCACTGCAGGTATACAATAGACATATAAATCTGACCTTACTTATCACGGCAGGGATACAAAAGACATGGAAATCTGACCTTACTTATCACTAGAGGTATACAATAGACAATTAATTGTTTATTTGTTTT